GTGAAACTCTTACCTCATTAAAGGAACAAGCCAGACGTCTTCAGCCCGTGTGCAGCGCTGCAATGTGGTCTGTTCTGCTGAGCTGATTTGCTAGCAGATAAAGAGTTTTAAACCGAAGAATGGCGTGTAATATATGACCTTGGCTTTCAAACGGTTTGTTTTTGTTCATGCGACAAAATAAGGTTTTGATATTAAATATAGGGGTGGATTTGACTTGGCAGATACCAGAGCCTGCCATTAGTGCTGTAGCCATAATATAAAACTATCTGATGTGTGCCAGTGGGCATGCAGCAAGCCAAGAATTTCTCCATCGATGTTTGTTTTTGTGAAAACTTACCCGGCTGCTTCAGAATGGGGTTGGCTGCAGAGGTGGTGCCCTCTCTTGTTGGAGGGGGCAAAGAATTGGCAGGCACAACACCATCCGTGCTGCCTCTTTGTAGTTAGTATCTCGAGTGTTTAGGCAAAATGAGGATTTTTTTTTTTCTGTAGTGTTTTGGGGGTGTTCAAAGAAAAACCGTTCAATCAAAAGTGCAGAGTTCAGCAGAAATCGGGCATAGACCAAACTATGTGAAGTATTCGGATCTGTTAGTACAGAAACTTAATGCTGTGTTGCAATTTTCAGTTTATGTACCTGGGGCTATGCATGGATACAAAACGTGCGTTTTGAGGGCTCCTTCTCGCACACGTGCTGTCAGCACGTTGGTTGGGTTGGCTCCGTCGTCTTCCTGTAGAGCTGAGACACTCCTGGACTCTTGTAACTGTGTTGAACAATAACTTAAAAATAAAATAAAAAAGGAAAAACCATGCAAACAAAGAAACCAGCACCAAAGAGCTGAAATCTTGCCTCTGTGGAACAAAAACCATGTAATAAAGGTATTACTTTGAGAGTTTACACAGGAGCCAGGGTCAGGCCACCCCACGAGCAGCAAAGGTGCTTTGCAGCGAGCTCGTATGGGTGCAGGCAGCACGGAGCTTCAGCAATGAGTAGGAAGAGCCCTGAACACAGCTCCCCACAGCTTCCTCATGTGTGCTGTACCAGGACTTCTGAAGAGTGCTTGATTTGCAGGATTGTATGTTCAAAGTCACCACGCCGCCCATCAGGTAGGAGGAGGTAGAATCACTTTTTGGGCTGTCCTCGCTGTTCCCTACACCATTTTCTGTGGATACGAAGCTTTTTCAAGTCTGCACCTTTCAGAACATTATTTTTTTTTTTAGCTTGTTGGTTGATGGAGGCCAGCTTGAGGATGCTCCAGTGGTTGGGTTGTTAGCTCATTTTTGGGAAGTCACTCATGATTAATTCCCCAATTGTGGGTGGCTGCTTCCCTGGGATAGGTGCATTTTTTGTCTTGTTGAACCAAAATGAAAACCTCTGTGTGGGATCGAAGCCATTTCCTTGGTCCTCCACTCCTATGTGGAGGAGCAGTTGATGTGTCTAGCTGTCTTGAGCTCCTTACAGGACAAACTGAGACCTGAGGCTGGTAGAAAATCCACAATTCTGAATTCCTGCCATAGTCTTGTCTCAACTTCTAGGGATTTCAGGATTTATTCCTGGCTACTTGCTGATTGAAATGAGCGCCTGTTAGGAAAGGCAACCTGGGAGTCAGTGGTTGAGCATAAAATTCACTTCATACATCGTGTAGCTGGATCCTGGGATTGAAGGATTTATGGGCGGTTGTTCATTGAGAGAAATTTTATGGCAGCTGTTGAAACTATTTTGACTTGTTTTCAAACACAAGACTTTCTTGGAAGAATAAAAGCAAAAGCTTTGGCAAAAATGTTAACCGAAAATGACTATCCTAATTGCATTCTGAAGATTAATAATTCTTTCTTTCTATGGGAGATCTGTCTGAATTAAACAAAAGTTTTGTTAGTCCATCAAGCTTTTAAAGTCATGTGTCACAATTTCTTCAAAAACAACCAACCAATCTAAAATTAAGTGAGCTCAGATCAAAGACTTTATCAACCGAAACCTTTGAACAGCCGTACAGTACAGGTGAACTGCATGTATTTAAAGTTTTACTCCCACAAAAGTCTTTTCAGCAATCTGTGTCCATTAATTATTCTAAAACTTTTTAAATATAATCTTTAAATACAAACCTCTTACAAAATAGGATTTTTCTGACAATTCACTGCTGCCTTAAAAAGCTGAGCATTAGAAGCATTGCACGCTATTGTATTTTTGAGTGGTTTTTGATGGTTATGCATCTTTTGATACTCTAGAGATTTTTTTTTTAGCATCTTAGAAGGGAAGTAACTTACTGCTCCTGTACATACCTTTTACTCTATATATTTTCTAGCAATTCTCTGAGTAGCTCCTTTATTACCATACAAAAAATAAGGTGAGTTGCATTGCCTGTCAGCTTTTTTCCTCTTTGCAACCACTGGCATGTTGCAGGCCAGCGTTGTTCTCTTAACTTCGCATCTTGCTTTAAATTTGTTGGAAACCCACCTGAACACTTCTGTTACTCGGTAACCTGCTTACGGAGCAACAGCAAGCACGTGTGGTCTTCTGTTAAACAGTTATTCCTGTTTATCCCCTGAAGCACGGAGATCTGTGAGGTTCAGTTTAAAAAAAAATAATAAATAAAACCCACAACCCAAACTCTAGCTTGATGCATGTTAAAAATAAGTGTTGCTTCAGGACCTGCCTTGAAAGGAAGAAATTCAATAGGCAGCCATCTTATTTTCCAAAAATTGTAACTGTGTAAGCTCAGCTTGAAGGCTTCTTGTTAACTTTGATCCTTTCTGAAGTTGACCCGTTCGTAATGCGTCTCAGTTTCTGGTGAATGCTTTTTCCTGGAATCAGTCCTTGAAAACTACCCAGTTTGAAGCATTTTTCCTTTGCTAACTGATATGTGAAACTAGTAAAACACCACAGGGGTGCTGAATGTCCAAAGTGCAGCTTTGATTGAATTGATGAGGCTACCACCATCCTGTACCAATCCTTTTGGTCGACCTGCATGCACGATCACAGAATACAGGTTCCACTGCACATCCAAATTCACTCCGCAATCACTGGCTCTCTGGTTATTCAGTAAGCTCTTGCTTTGTAGAAGAACGAAGTGTAATTATTTGGTTTGTTGCTTTAAGGTACATTTGATTCCTGAAAGAGGCTTTATACGTACTGACCACTATGAAATGCATTGTCTGCTGCGTTCACGGAGCGTTTGCTTCTCTAGTACATAATGCTCAAATTCTTTGCTGTGGATGACATGGAGAGAAATGTAAACATCCACTTACATTTTTAAATAAATACGTTTTTATTTGCTGCATTGTTTGCTCACCTTTTTATTGCAGATGTCTGACTTTCACTACCTGTCCTCTTGTTTTCGGTCAGAGCTGTTCATAGTTTGGTTTTGTCCTTGGGTTCACTTCTTAACTTTTACTTATGTTATCTGCAAGTCCATCACAAACTTTCCTTGAGGAATCCTCAAATAAAAGTTGCATTGAATCTTGAAGGAGTTGCCCTGATGCTTAAATTTGATCAATTTTAGCTCTTTACGTTAGTCAGGGTTGCTGAAAAGCATGTCTGCTTCAAACAAGCTCCTTACTGTTGGAACAGTCCACCCAGCACTTGGAACTGGTCACGGCACTGCTAGCGATCTGTGTTTTGCAAATGGAAAGTGCTCTCATCACTTTTCTGACAGCTCCGTTTGGCTCTTTTTAGTAGAAGCTCAACGTTAACACTTTGTGCATTATATCTTTCACGTGTGTCAGCAGGGTACCAGCATCCAAAACATGCACAAAGTTTCTCCAGAGAATTTGCCAATGGCTGGAGGAGGAGACTTTGAGTTTGCAGAATCATGGAAACTTTCATAAACCACAATCAAGTGTCTTTAGGCTCAGTATAAATCCTTTTTTTTTTCTTACGTTTTTCCCTTCTTGCAACAGCTACAACAAATAAGTGAGGGATGCGATGGCAGTGGTGGAAAGGAAACTGGTGTCCCCAACTTGCTTTTGAGTTTGTGAGCCTACATATTTGTTTGTGAGGTTTTTCAGAGATTAAATGTGACAGTTTTTTAGCTACTGTGGACTTGGAACAGGAACTTTCCTGTATAGGGATGTGTAAAATGTAGGATTCCTATGGACTAGTTTTGTTGGAGTATTATGGGGCACCCTTTATGTGCTCCTTTTTGTAATATCCGTGATGCTTCTAGTATGACTTTATTCTCCTACGTAGACCTTATTAGACCAAACCAAATAAAATAAGTTAACGCTTATCTCTCTCAAACTGGGGAAATAGTCAAACATCCTGATTCATGAGCTGTAGTTGTCATACTCAGTGTTCTTCCCCTGTGTGTATGAGGATAGCCTCATAAATTCAAAGCTGTGCTTTGTACATTCATGCATTGTGTATGTTACATACAAAGCCTTACTTTGTACATACATGCTTTTTTTTTTGTCCCACCATATATATTGGTGCAAAATAAGAATTACTGTGTTGTGTGAAAGGTGATTAAATTTCTGCCTGCAATCTCTCGATTCCTTCCCTGTTGTCCATTAACGGCACAGAAACTCTGTGCCATACATCAAAACAAGTGAGTGTTTCAGCTCAGAAGCCTACTACACAGTACTTAAGGTTATGTTCCACTTCTGAACGTGTAGAAATTTGAGTCCACGAGGGTTGAATAACATTTCCTGTTGGGTACTTTCTTTGGTGTTTCCATTTAAGCGAATATAATCAGGGCAGCAGAATTTTCAGGTTTATTTTAAAAACAAACTCAGGCTGCTGAAAATCACAGTGGTGCTCCAGAAGAAGTTGTAATTCCAAGGCTGCATTATTCTGACTGAGAACTGTACTATGATGGCTATCTTTGAAATTGTATTACATCAGTTAACCTAACGATGTTATGCCATTTGAGCTGGTGTAGACCAAAGCAAGGAATTTCTGAACTTATCTTTTCCTTGAGAACTCTCTGCTTTTTTCTGTAGTGCTGACGCTGAAGCCTGTTCTCTTTGCAAGAAGCACGTTGTGACTTTTCTTTTTTCATTCCCTCCAGGTTTACGGGAACAGATGGACCAAGTGGTTTCGGCTTTGAGTTGACATTTCGACTAAAGAGGGAAACGGGAGAGTCGGCACCACCTACCTGGCCAGCGGAGTTAATGCAAGGCTTAGCCAGATACGTCTTCCAGTCAGGTACTGCAGGGTTAGATGCATTACCTCGTTTTTTGCTGCTTTCATTCCACATCTCTTACATGGTGCTACGCTTGGGTCATAGGTGCTCAATCAAATCTTAAGATCTCAGAGATCTTAAGAATCTCTGAGTGAGAACATTTGACCAAAAAAGTGGGTATCATCCATCAACCCCGCTTGCTGGGGACAAACCCCAGCTGCTGTTTACATAACTCCAAATCAGGAGTATGGAGAAGCTGGAGGTACAGAACGGTCAGTAACTACCGGAAGCCTGCCAGTGCCTGTTTGTTGCTTTCTCACATTGGTTTCAGCTCTCTCTGGGTGAGAGGAGGTGAGGAGATGTAAGAATCTCATTTGCTTCTCCTGAAATGGCTGAGGAGCACGCGTCTGATAAGGCCTCGCTTCTCAGCAGAAGGGCTGTAACTTCCAAAACGGTTGCAGTTCCCTTGCAAGTAAATCTCTTCCAGTCCTCTGTGTAATTCAGCAGCAGCAGTGTGTGTAAACAAACAGATGAAAAAGACATAAGTTGTAAGAGATGCCAAGGCTGGGAGGGCTAAAGAATTGACAGTTGGGAATCATCAGTGCTTGTGGAGACTTACCAGAAAGTTGAGAACCATCCAACTTTTTTTTGCACTACTCTTCCTGGATTTCATTGTACTGGTAGATTGAATATTAGCTTGTGTTGTGAGCACGTGAAGATCTGTGGAGTGACTGAGTGCATTGCATATTTGAAAAGCACCCTCTACCATCACAAGATCTGAATGAAAGTAATTGAAGAACTTTTTTTTTTTTTAAACTAGCTTGGGATCCTCTACAGGTGAAGTACCTTCCAAATCAATGATTACTGAATTTGTAACATTTGGTACTTGCTCCGCTAGTTAATAAATTGCTCAGTAACTTCTGATTCTACTGCTGGTTTTCAGTCAGCTTGGCTGACTGTCAAAAGGGAAAGGTCCATGTGAAAATAGGATTGCTCTGGTAATTTGTCACAAATCATTGAGGCAGTGGTAACTCAGAATATTTTTCCAAAGTATTGACTGACAGAGACCAATGCCAGCATAGATCACTGCTTGTCTTCATACTGGAAGTGTATCTGGTTGCAGTTTGAAATTACAGAAATGCTTTTGTCACCTTTGCTGTGCACCTTTGTGTCACCTTTGCCCCTGTTGCCATACAAATTTGGGTTCAACTGTAATCTTTCTATCTTGATGCTTTGCTACTCTTAAGCATCTGAATCCACCTGACTTTCATAGTTTTTGTAACTGTTTGAGGTTCCCATCCTGCTTGAATTGTACAGTTCAGCAACTCTTTAGTACTAACTATGCAGTGGTGTATTCATACTCACATATTTCTATCTATTGCAGGATATGCAGAAAAGCATCTGGTTCTAATGTCTCCCACTTAGGTATAACATACAGCATGTTATCTGTTAAATTATATTACATTTGAGACCCTTTTTGTAGCCTTTCATGTTTTTCAGTCTGGTGTAGTCTCTTTGCAACAGTAATTTCAGTGCCTTGCACGTTAAGCAACCTCTACTGCAGCAGTTGCTTGTCTGACCCTTTCCATGAGTGAGGGGATGAGTGCGGAGTGAAGTGGGATTTAGTAGGACAAAATTTAGGACAGAATTCTCAGACTCAGCTGGTACTGAGGGCAGAGACTGCCCTTGCTCATACAGCAGCCCACGAATGGGTCTTCCTGGCACTTTCTGTTTCGTAATATTACTGAGCCATTGATGGCGTGCAAGCATCAATGAGCTTCTTAGAAGAGTTTTGCTAACCAAAGGATTGTTCTGCTGGAAGATTTCTCAAGTTTCCTGCAGTAATGCAGTCTCGTCTGTCTGACCTCAAAGCAAACAAACTGTTTTTAGACTGGAAAGAGCAGTTGTGCCCATGCATATCAGTCTCTGATGTGAACTTCTGAGGGCCTTCAGTATTATCTACTGCTTATCCGTGCTGGTTTTTGACTTTCTATCTACCATGACTCTTTAAAGGCACTGCTCAAATATGCTTTAATGGATTCTAGCCTCTGGGTGTTTAGTTCTCAATTTACATTATTAAAAAATCCAGTGGATGAATCATAAATTGACTTCTTTGAATATGAAATTGAACATGAGCCAAGAGCATACAACAGGCAAACCACATACTGGGTTACATTAAGAAGAGCATGACCAGCAGATTGAGGGAAGTTATTGCCTCTTCTATTTGGCGCTGGGAAAGGCTCACTTAAAAAGCTGTGTCTGGCTTTGGGCTTCACAGCTTTAGGGGCTGAGAAACCAGAGAAGGTCCAGTAGGCCCAAGGCAATCGAGGGGCAAAAAGAGCACGTGAACTAGGAGGAGAGGTGGAGGGAGAAGGGTTGTGTTGTGTATGTAGAGAAGGTGAAAGGCGATCTAAAAGGAGCTGATGGAGGGGTAGTTAGAAGATTGAGGGGTCAAGCCCTAGATAATATAACGATGAGGCTCCAGCTCTGTGTCATAGCGTGGGAAGTTCTACGATACCTCCACTTCAAGACGAGGCTTGGTGAGAGGCCTCCAGAGGCCCCTTAATCCAACTCTTCTCTGATTTTTTTCCTACAGCTTCATGCCCTTCAGCAAGCAGCTGTGTGCTCTCACCAAGCATTACCAGCTATTCCTTCCCCTGTGTAAAGGGAAATTGTATGTTGTTGAGGCAAGTGATCAGGCTCTAGTTTTATTTTAGTACAAATTTGTTCACTGTTTGCCTCTTTTGAATAAGGACTTTCTCACTTAGGCTTAAATCTTCTAGCTAGTCATAGATGTCAGGTTAATCCTGGCAAGATGATGAATTTAAAAGCAAGACCTGGGATGCAGCAGACTATTCATGTTCCTTCCGAAATCCATTCGGCGTTGGGCAGGGTGTGGCACCTCCGGCATTGTTTTATGTGCTGAAAGGTTCCTTTTTGCTCAAGTTCTTCTGACTGTGCAATTTGGAGCATTTGTCAGATGCAACAATACCTTATTGTTGCCTTGCTCAGTTGTTTAAAAATCTGTGGTGTCTCTCTGATACTTCAAAAAAGCTTTAAAAACATCTGATGAACCAAGACAACTTGAGTAATGCTTCTTAATCCACTCCAAACAAGAAGCAAGGGGAAAAAAAAATAAAACTGGCAGAAACTTTCTGGGTAGGCTCCAGGCACTTTGGCATGTCAAAGGATTGTTTACTTTGAAAGCTATGCTAAGAGCTAAATTCTTATCTCTTGAGCAACAAGCCAACTTCGTGGTTATCATAGATGTGCTTTGCTGGGTCCAGTTGGAGCTGCTGGGAGAGTGAGATGTAGTTGTGCTCCTGCTGAGGCTGAGCATTTTCAGAGGGTGGTGATTGAGCTGAAGAGTCATCCAGCAGCTACCGCTGCCCTAAATGTTATTTCTGTGTATTGGAATTTCAAAACACGTCTCGTTGCAGGTGATGTATTTTTGTAACAAACGCTTTTAGGCAAATGGACGTTGTTCGGTTGTTTCCATCTCTCCTGTGCTGTGGCTGTAGTTTAGAAAAGCTGTCTTCCACATTGAATTTCAGACCTCTTTGAGCCTCGGCGTCCCTGTTCACTGTAACAAACACTTGATGCTTTGTGCTTTTGATTAAATGGCACTATTTCCCCTCCTTCAAGAAAACTGGGTTTACAAGCCTTAAAAAGTTGTATTTGTGGCTTTATCTGTTCTTAATTTTATCACTGTTTGACCATGACCACAAATTCCAACTCTGTTATTTTTAGTTTGGAGAAAAAAAAAAAAAAGAAAAAAAAAGAAAAAGCAGAACACCAACCGCCCTAACCTTGAAAATGAAACTGCACAATTCAGTGACCTTAACTTGTCATGGTTCACGAGTATACTGGGAATATCTGGTGGTAGAACAAATGTACACTTGAATTCAAACAGAGGAAGAAACACTCTTCCTATGGAAAGTTTATTCAGGACTTGTTACGATTAACTCTTTACGTATGGCAGCATTACTCTGCTTGGTTAGTGTGGAGTGGCTGTGGGTTGTGTTTTCCTGACGTTAAAATCTGCATTTTTTTTCTCTCTACAGTGAAGTTAGGTTATTTTCAAGGGCCTACCTGGTTTTCTTCATGAGGGCAATATATTGATGTAGGTGGAAACAAATGCATCATTCTTGCTGCTTCCGTGTTGCTTGGCCTTGAAAGAGAAACCTCCAGCGTTAAGGTACAGAGCTGAAGAAATTGTCAGAAAAACTTGTCATGCATAGTGCCTTGCGATAACAATGTAACGTGTATTATGGTTGTATTCTCCACAACAGATGCCTGTAGTAGGGAACTAGCTAGTGAAATCAGCAAACTTTAAAAATACCGTGAATTTGTTCAAGGATTGCAGGTTGGCTGAGCTTGATAACATTTACCCCAGAACACATCAGTGTGTGCAGTCTGAGCCTCTGCAGTTACAGGGGACACAGCTCCCCAGGAGGCTGGAAAATGGTAAATGCTGTCCTTTACATTGTAAAAAGGCACAAGGTTTAAAATCTGTCGATGTTTGGCACCTAAGCAACTATTAGCAAACCAGCAAACCATCTAGAAGGCGTCCAGGGAATAATGGAAGTTCCATTTATGGAACTTCCAAGCATGGATTTATCAAGAGTAAAGCAGAACAAACTAGTTTAATTCCATGACCAAGTAATAGGCACTATAGGAAGCAGTGACTGTTAGTTATCTTGAAGCTAGTGAGACTTTGGACATTGTCTAATATAACAGGTATGTGAGCGAGCTGAGGAAATGTGATCTTGATAAAAACTGAAGAAAGGGCTGCAATACTGATTGGGTATCTCGACTTGAATAGTTGTCAATGTGTTGTCATCAGCCGCAGAAGATGGGTAGAACTGAGATTCCTCTGAAATCTGTCCTAGGGCTGATGCAATTCGGGATTGACTGGGATGACGAAATGCAGAGTATCCTGACAAAACTTGCAGGCTCAGCAAGCACTATGGCACACAGGGCTGGAGTTCAGAACAGCCTTTTGCAAGTTGCGGAGATGGTC